GTGAAACGTCTTCAAGCAACTTAAAGAAGTCCAGACGCTTTTCTTTGCAAGCTCCTTTGACTACGATGACCTGGATGACTGAGAACCTTCACAGACATCCCGTCCTATTTCCTAAATTGCACGTCCTGGATTTCTCTCCTCCCATTTCAGTCTTTCCCACCACAGATGTGAAGAAGAGACACTGAAGCCTCAGCAGAAAGGTGACTGTCAAGAAGCTTTCTTAAGAAAGAGAAACTGCGAGAAAAGCTTGAAATGTCAAATTACACAAAAACCGGAAATCGGAAAATCGGTGGCAACAGGTAAATGGTAAATGGCCTGCATTTGTATAGCACTTTTCTAGTCCATAGGACCCCAAAGCGCTTTACACTACATTCAGTCATTCACCCATTCACACACACATTCACACACAGGTCTGATGGAGCGATGAAACCAAACTTTAAAACTGGCCGTCAATATGTAAAGAAGAGATCAGGAGAACGCTACAGCAATGAAACTCTTTGAAACCGCTTGGGGCTGCATTTCAGCCAGTGGTGTTGGGGACCTTTTCAAACTGGATGGAGAAAAGTTGGCCTGAGAGTTAAAAAATAAAAACAAAACATAAAGGTGGTCATACCAAATTCTGACTTTAAAGCTCAATAGAACTGTACAAAATCGGGTTTTTTGTATACACTGTATTTCTATTTATGTTCGCACATGTTCAATAAATTACTGCAATTATTTCCCATTTCACAGCAACAGAATAGAGTTGAGGACTGGCTCTTTCACACAGTACGTACCTAGAAGTTATTTTATATTCACAAGTCATTATTGTGTGCACGCAAGTCCTTGTCTTGCATGACCAACTTACTGTCTTGTACGGAAATGTTCTTAGCGCAGAGCAGTAATTATCTTTTTTATTTTCCTTGTTATCTTGTATTAACAGTCATCATCTTGTGCCGACGTGTAATTAATTTATTTGCACAAGACAATTTGCTGTAATGAGCTTATTATATACCTTGTTTTTTTTGCATGGCAAAAAATATTTGAATTCAACTCCAGAGCCCTTAGATCACCTGGCTGTCGCAAACCTTCAGATAGCCTCCATAAAATTAACAGCATTCACTGCTGTAGTGAAACTACGGTGGCCACCCTGGCTCAAATCTTTAAGTGCGTAGCGCTTCTATTCGCCTGTTTACCTCATTTGTAATGATGATGTGAGGCCGAAACCGCTAGCTAGCTAGCCTAGCTAAAGTACTGAAGAGCCGGTAAAGGATGGAGGGAAAGAGGCGTGTGTCGGGGGGTACATTTTGATAGCCCCCCCTTTTAGTTCTCATCTCCTGGCAGCGGTTTGTTCAGAAAAGCAGCCGTCACGCTTTCATTTAGGCGCTAGCCTGTTAGCATGCTAGGTGCAGGCAAGACTAGCTTTAGTGGGTTTCAGTGTGATTTAATATGGCAGATAGCAAATTCAACACCACTCCTGACCGCTGGAATAATTTTTTAATTTACCTCTACTTAATAACCTTCGGTCGTTGTTCATAGCACCGGGTTTTTAGGTCAACAAACCCCGCCTGCTGTTGAAGACTCCTTAGCTAACGCTGGTGCTAACCCAAAAGTGTTGCCTGGAATGGAGCCAGGCGACCTGCGAGAGAGCCCCGCCGGCTCCGGGGAATCGGACGTAGGGGAATGGAGGGAGTGTATTGAGGAGGTCAAAGCCGCGGAATGCGATGGAAAGACTCAAGAAATGGCGCTCAGAGACACCTGCGAGGAAGGAGAGAGTGACAAACAGAAAAGCCCCGGAGAGCAATTACACAGTCCGTATGAAGAGGAGTTGGACCCCAGAATCCAGGTACCTCAAAATTCGGACTTTTTGTTTAATCTATTGCTGACCGTTAAACATCCTTCAGCTCTATTATTATATTAATCAGCCGCTTTTAAATGACTGTTACCTACACCTGGGTGTGTACATCCGGGATTACTTTCGATTTAGTGTGACAGAAAGGTAGTAATGTATTCAAATGAGCACATGTTCATTATTCATTTAAAAGATAATGTCTTCATAATACGGTAATCTGTGCAAATCCCTGTCAGATCTGAAGTGATTATCCTGTCACCAGTGTAACACACCTCTGACGTGTGTCACCTTACACTCCCAACCTATTAATCATCGCCATTACAGTCAAATAGCACTACTAATGCTTTCCCAATATAAATACGTGAGATACATATACTGTGTTTTTCCACAGGAGGAACTGGAGCATCTCAATGAAGCCAGTGCTGAAATCAACAAGCTAGAACTGCAGTTGGATGTAAGTGTAAATACGTAATAGATAGAAAGCTATTCATTTATTACAATCATTGTAAAATATAACTATCAAATAATTGGTGGTGAATATAATCAGTTACAAGTCTGTGTGAAATGTATGACAATTTAATAAGACTTGCCCTGCTTTTCTTGTCAGATTAAATAAAATTGCTTTGATGTTGACAAAACAAACTCATTATAGATGTGAAAAACCATTTATTGCCACCCTGGGAATTACTTCTCAATGTGTTTGTGTCTAAATATTTTATTAGTCTACCCCGAAGGTGCTAATGAATATGATAATTTTGTTTTTCAATATGTGTAAAGCACAGACTCTGGAAAAGTGTGAGCTCTTAAAATGGAAGATGTAGTGTTGCTTTTTGAAACTCACTGAATCGGCTGCCCACTTCCTGTGTGAAATCGAATTAGTTGCTGCATTACAGGTAAATCTAATCCTGTCATTTTCATGCATTGATCGTCCAGGATGCCAGATCGGGATACCGGAAGATCCTCACAGAGTCTGCCCGAAAGCTGAACGCTCAGAGCTCTCAGCTCGGCAGCTGCATTGAAAAAGCGAGACCATATTATGAAGCTCGGCGCCTTGCCAAAGAGGTATACACAACAAGGTTTACATCTGTTTTCTCTGCCAAATGGAAGATGTGTTACAGACATGCATGTTTTTACTGCAGCATCTGGATTCAGGAGTGAGAATCAGGTGTTCTGCTCGAGGCGAGGGAAAAACAAACATCGGGTGCTGCAGTTTGTGAACGTGCACAAGTTCTGAGTAGGGAAGGGAAATCTCAGTGCAAATGTTTTTTTGCTTTTTTAAATTATTTATTTATGTTTTTTTGGAGAAACGCACTGATCCCCAGTGTAAAATGCATCTAGGTCTAAACACAATTTGAATGCAAGGTGCTTGTTCTGTTCCTTTACGAGCTCTAGTTTTGGGCGATTTTGCAAACCAGTTAAATCTACAAATCTGAAGTGTAAATCTGCGTTAACTCAGAAAACCATCATTGGTGACATCAGTGAGCATATCTACTGAAACACCGGTGTGTTCACTGTGTGCCTGTATGACTGTGTGTATAATGACACAACGCTGACTTGGATGTGATGAAGCTCGCGATGTCATCTACGTGCTGTGTAGTTACGTTACAGCTAGCTGGCTAACCACCCATGTGTTGGTTGTTACTGTGGAAAATAAATGTCACTTATTAATATTTGCCGTGTGCCATTAAATCATCTACTGCTGGCTAACCTCAGTACTGTGTGATCTGATGTTAGCACACACAGGACAGTGGCCTCTGTGATGATTACGAAACTTTGAGCTGTGCGTGTTTGTCATTGACATCTTGTTTTCTTTTCTAACTGGATGTGACAGATGGGTGGAACTGACTGTAAAACTGCATCCTCATTGGCGACTGGCCAGTGTCTAAAATTGAAATTGACATTACCTGGGCACAAGTGGACCCTGTTACTCTCAGACCTGCAGAAACTTTAACATCGATAACAGTTTGAATTTGCCTGATGAAGTAATTTGAAAAATGATCACCCAAGTTATCAAATCAGCTCTGGAGGTTTAAATTTCACTGATCATTTGCTCCTTATATTGCACCTACAGCATATATAACTTGTATACAGCTGTATATATCTGTGTTTTATCTTTGATTGTGAAGTAATTTTAATGTAAAAATCTACATACTTCTAATGGAGAGATGCCAAACTGTTTTTCATTGTTCTTGTAACAGTAACAATAAAGATCTATCTTATCTTATCTCTTAGATGAACTAGCCAACCTGGTCCAGCCTGTCATTTGTCTGTGTTAGCAGGCGCACTAGCATTATCTAACATTAGCCAGAAGAGAGAGCGAGAAAAGTTTCAGATTTGATCCCAAAAACCCAACAGCCTTGGACAAGCAGGTCTTTCATTGACGTTAATGATTAGTGAATTCCATTTCTAAGATTGTTTTTGACGCTGGGAGCAGAAGAGAGGCGCTGAGACAAAGCACCTGGGAATTACAACAAGCGTCACATTCTTTTCATTTTTGCTGAAAATTTGACCCCAGTCCTTCACATAGAAATCACATGTTCGAGA